CTTTAAGCTAATGAAGCTATTAGTTGCCTAACCTAATTAGTTCCTACAACAAAAGAGAGAATGGTGGAGGACGGAGAGAGTTAGAGAGGAACTTTCTTTTTTGAGAGCTGGAAGAGAAAGTTAGAGAAAAGAAAAGGAAATAGTATTAAAATTAAAGCGAATTGAAATTCAGCATTTTGGACTTGAGAATTGTGAATACTTAGGTGATTTTGAAAACATTAAATGAGTTGCTTAAGTTAAACGAATATCGTTAAGCTACAATTACTCAGTAAATTCTCCTTTTTGGAGGCTAAGCAAGATTAGTTTGTGTTAAACTTGGCCGCTTAAGCTAATGCAACTGTTGGTTGCCTAAGGTAATTAGTTCCTAGAAGAAGAGGGAGAGGCTGGAGAAAGGACGGAGAGAGTTAGGGAGAAACTTTCTTCTGGGGAGCTAGAATAGAAAGTTAGAGAACAGAAAGGGCAATATGATGAAAATTAAAGTGAGTTCCAATTCATCATTTTGGGCTTGAGATATATACACTTAGGTGATTTAGAAAACATTAAGTCATCTGCTTATGTAAAACTAATATCGTTAAACGACGATTGCTCAGTAAATTCTCTTTCTTCGTGGATAAGCATGATTAATTTGAGTTAAACATGGCCACTTAAGCCAAAGAAACTAATAACTGGATAAGCTAATTAGTTCCTAGAACAAAAGAGAGAAGGATGGAGAAGGACGGAGAGAGTTGGAGAAAAACATTCTTCTTCATAACTAGAAGAGAAAATTAGAGAGAAGAAAGGAAATAGAATGAAAATTAACCAATTGATCCTTTTGGACTGGAGAATCGAACACTTGGGTGATTTAGAAAGCCTTAAATGATGCGCTCAAGTCCAACTAATATCGTTAAGCTACAATTACGCTGTAAAATCTCTTTCTTGGAGGCTAAGCGAGATTTTTTTTTTTTTGGGTGAATAAGAAATAAATAAAACAGAAAGATTTACAAGAATACAAGGGGCATACCCCAGGCCCTAACAACAGAACAACACGAGCCTCGGCCCAAAGCCACCGAAGCCCAAGAAAACACAATACAAAAAAACACTAAACCAAGCCTAGGAGCTACATCCGAAAGATTAAGAGAGCCAATTGAATACTAGCCAAACGATTTGTACAAAGGCCATATCCTATGATGGATAGGGACTTTGTACAAAAGACAAAGGAAGCAGCCAAAAAGCATTACCACTTCAACAAAACCCCTACACAACCCGTAGGGATAGGCACTATCACAACAACAAACCTTCCTACACAACCCGTAGGGATAGGTACCTGTAACAAAATAGATATCATACAAAAATAACAACCCAAAAGGGACCGTGGGGATGAGCCAAGAGAGGCCCATCCTACCGAAGTTGCTCAAAAATCGATTACACGATACACCAAAATGCACATAAAGCCTCCTACACAACCCGTAAGAGTGGGCAAACTGCACAATAAAACTATGAACAAATAACAGGAAAGACCAGTGATTAGCTCTCACTTGTAGCATAGCAAGGCGCTTGAAGCAGCCATCACCATGGTACATACACACTCTGCCAACTGCCACCCAAACCTGTGCAGCAATCAGCCACCACTCCTCCACTGCGAGATCAGTTTGAGTTAAACTTAGCCACTTAAGCTAGTAAACTATTAGTCCTAGAACAAAAGAGAGAAGTTGGAGACGGACAGTGAGAGTTAGAGAGAAACTTTCTCCATGAGATCTAGAAGAGAAAGTTAGAGAAAAAAAACGGAAATAGGATGCAAGTTAAAGCGAATTCAAATTCACCCTTTTGGACTTGACAATTGAACCCTTGGGTGATTTAGAAAACATCAAATGAGTTGCTTAAGTTAAACTGTTATCGTTAAGCTACAATTACTCTGTAGATTCTCTTTCTTGGAGGCCAAGCAAGATTAGTTCGAGTTAAACTCGGCCACTTAAGCTAATGAAGCTGTTAGCTGCCTAACCTAATTAGCTCCTAGGTTTGGTCTAGTGTTTTAGTTTGTGTTTCTTTGGGCTTCGGGTCTGTGGGCTGAGGCTCGTGTTGTTTTCTGTTGTTAGGGCCTGGGGTATGCCCCTTGTATTTTTGTAAATCTTTCTGTTTTATATTATTTCTTATTCACCCAAAAAAAAAAATTAGTTCCTAGAACAAAAGAGAGAAGGGTGGGGAACGACGAAGCGAGTTAGAGAGGAACTTTCTTCTAGAGAGCTAAAAGAGAAAGTTAGAGAAAAGAAAAGGAAATAGGTTTAAAATCAAAGCGAATTCAAATTCATGCTTTTGGACATGACAATTGAACACTTAGGTGATTTACAAAACATTAAATTAGTTCCTTTACTACATCGTCAAGCTACGATTACTCAGTGAATTCTATTCCTTGGAGGTTGAGCAAGATTAGTTTGAGTTGCCAAACCTAATTAGTTCCTCGAACAAAACAGAGAAGGGTGGAGAAGGGACGAAGAGAGTTAGAGAGAAACTCTCTTCTTGAGAGCTAGAAGAGAAAGTTAGAGAAAAGAAAAGGAAACGGGATTAAAATTAAATTGAATTCTAATTCATCATTTTGGACTTGGGAATTTAACACTTAGGTGATTTAGAAAACCTTAAATCAGGTGCTTAAGTCAAACTAATATCGTGAAGCTACAATTACTCGGTAAAATCTCTAATCTCTTTCTTGTAGGTTAAGCAAGATTAGTTTGTGTTAAATTTGGCCACTTAAGCTAATAAAACGACAAGTTGCCTAAGACAATTAGTTCCTAGAACAAAAGATAGAAGTTGGAGACGGACGGAGAGAGTTGGAGACAAACTTTCTCCTTGAGATCTAGAAGAGAAAGTTAGAGAACAGAAAGGGAAATAGAATGAAATTTGAAGGGAGTTCAAACTCATCAATTTGGACTTGCGAATTGAACACTTAGGTGATTTAGAAAACATTAAATGAGTTGATTAAGTTAAACTGTTATCGTCAAGCTACAATTAGTTGTCCACCAAAAAAAAAAAGGCTACAATTACTTAGTTAATTTTCTTTCTGGGAGGATAAGCATGATTAGTTTTAGTTAAACTTGGCCACTTAAGCTAATGAAGCTATTAGTGGCCTAACCTAATTAGTTCCTATAACAAAAGAGAGAATGGTGGAGGAGGACGAAGAGAGTTAGAGAGAAACTTTCTTTTTTGAGAGCTAGAAGAGAAAGTTAGAGAAAAGAAAAAAGGAAATAGTATTAAAATTAAAGCGAATTGAAAGTCAGCATTTTGGACTTAAGAATTGAATACTTAGGTGATTTTGAAAACATTAAATGAGTTGCTCAAGTTAAACGAATATCGTTAGGCTACAATTACTCAGTAAATTCTCCTTTTTGGAGGCTAAGCAAGATTAGTTTGTGTTAAACTTGGCCGCTTAAGCTAATGCAACTGTTGGTTGCCTAAGGTAATTAGTTCCTAGAAGAAGAGGGAGAGGACTGGACTCTCTCCGTCCTCCTCCACCATTCACTCTTTTGTTGTAGGAACTAATTAGGTTAGGCAACTAATAGCTTCATTAGCTTAAGTGGCAAGTTTTAACTCGAACCAATCTTGCTTGGCCTCCAAGAAAGAGAATCTACAGAGAAATTGGAGCTTAACGATAACAGTTTGACTTAGGTAGGCAACTCATTTGATGTTTTCTAAATCACCCAAGTGTTCAATTATCAAGTCCAAAAGGGTGAATTTGAATTCGCTTTAATTTGCATCCTATTTCCGTTTCTTTTCTCTAACTTTCTCTTCCAGCTCTCAAAAAAGAAAGT